AATGACCTCAAGTTGTGCCAGGGGAGGTTGAAATTGGATATTAGGAAGAATTTCTTCCTGGAAAGGGTTGTCAAGCACTGGAACAGGCTGCCTAGGGAAGTGGTGGAGTCACCATCCCTGGAGGTATTTAAAAGAGGTGTAGGGGCGGTGCTTAGGGAGCTGGTTTTGTGGTGGACTTGGCCATGCTAGGTTTATGGTTGGACTCAATGATCTTAAAGGTCCTTTCCAACCTAAACGATTCTGTGATTCCGTGAACAGGAGCCAAGGGAGGCTGGCCCTGCATGGGTAGTGCGGGACACATCTGCTGTGGAGAGCAGCCCCTCCGTGGCCCCCAACACATCTGTACCATTAAAAGCCTTCCTGCAAGGGCACAAGACCTTTTTCTCCATAGGTTGTGAGCATCTTGTTATGTCCCTATATGGTGTGTAGGCCCCTTAGACAACCAAGGACCAGGTGGGAGTTGAAGTGGATGGTCCCTCATGTCCTGACCTCCCTGAATTATCGTATGGCTTCATCCCGTTGCTGTAACTGTAATGCCAGCATGAAGGTGAGGTTCTCCTGATGTATTGAGCTGCGGTTATGAAAACTGAGGTTTTTTAGGACTCTCTTGCTAGGCCATGAGCTTTATACTTAAAATTAGGCTATGCTGAAAACTGGGTCTGCAAATAACTTCCATACTGTCCAAATAAATACACTCTGAATAGGAGACCCAATGGAGATCTAGGGTAAAAGAAGAATTAAAAAAAAAAAATCCTATTTCTATTAAACTAGGATGTTCTATCCCTGTCCTTAGCTGTGCTGTCCATGCAGGCATGGTGCAGTTGCTCTGCAGTCATGTGTCTTTGGCTAGAGAATTTATATAGTAGCACCTTCTTCACTCCTTTTTTTTTTTTAATCGTTCTCAGCACTCAAAATTCCCTGTGCCAGAGTTGAAGTAGCTGAGGGAAGAGAGATCTTTTGTCACGAAAATAATGTGGAGTCGGGCAAATTCCATTCTGTTCAGGCACTTTGTCTGCTCCAAGTATTTTACTCAGAGAAGATGTCTTGGGAACTCAGCCCCCTCTTCCCATGGGATTGATGAAGCTCCCTTAGGAGTTCTGTTATCAGCTTTGTATCACAGACATTTAACCTTGGCCTATGTAGCAACAGACATACTATAAAATAAGCTTTTTTTTTTTTTTTTCTTATTGCAGGGAACCAGCAGCAATAATGAAAGTGGAACCTCAGAGTTTTCTGTGCATGTGTCTTGTACCTGAGTCATCAAGTTCACATGATCTTGATCATGGATAAAACTGTCTGCAAAGATAAAACTGTCCTGATAGAAAATTAAATTTATTAAGGCAGGTTCTAATCATAGTGTTGACTACTCTGCGTGTTTTTTTTTAAAGTACATACATGCTACATGTTCTGTCTGTAACCAAAACAGCTCCACATAAAATTGTGATGATGTGCTAGGGATGACAGATCAGATAGTCGATATTGTCTAAGAGATCAGATAGTCGTTATTCTCTAACAAACAGGAGAAAAGCTTTGGTATGGGACATATGCTAAGGAATAGCTCAGTGGACTTGCTTGTGGAACAAAATACAGCACTTGCGGCACACGTAAGGAGAAATGCAAGTATCTGAAGACAGCTTTTTAGCCAGATGACTTGCACGTGGCATTGCTGCTTTCCTCCCCAGTGCCTTTACCCTTTGAATACTGGCTTCTGTTTTGGGCTGAGTCTCATGTACCTGTTTGTGTGACACCAAATAGTCTAAGAGTTAGGGCACCTGAACTGTGTTGTGGGCTGGATCACCCTAGATCTTGCTTACAAAAATAAAATTAACAATATCCACTTCTGCAGAGCATTTTGAGCTTTATAGTCAGAGCACTGTGTCATCGCTTAGTAGTAGTATATTTATTTTTACTTGAACAGCGCCATTGGTGTCGGTGGGACTTGCTGAAATGTGTTTGCTGAGGCCTTGAACCAGCAATACCAGACCTAATGATCCTCTTCCCAACAGTCTTAGTTGTTTAGAGATTTTTTTGACGTGCACAAATAAAGGCACTTAAAAAACAAATAGCACCTGATTTCCATATATAGAGTCTTTGGGAAAATACCACCCCATCAATTATGTATTTTTTTTAAACATTGCCTTTTATTTCTGTGTCTAAAGGGGCCCATTTAATACTGCGAGTAATGTTCTGAGTAATACCGGGCTTTGCACAAATGAGGCGCTTAACTGAGTTCCTTATTTTTATTATCCATTGTCTGCTAACCAGTTTTTTGTTGTTTCATTTATTTGTCTTTTCCCTGGGGAAGGAAGGATGGCAGCTCGGCGTGCACTGAAAGCTGTCTTGGTGGATCTCAGCGGCACACTTCACATTGAAGACTCAGCTGTGCCAGGCGCGCAGGAAGCTCTTAAAAGGCAAGCTACCTTTTTCGATTTCCTCTGATAGGTTATGTCAGCGCTGTTTGCACAAAGATGCTTCTTTAAGTAAACGGTCCTGAAGCTTCTGCCTTTTTGTGCTGTCATGGGTAAGCAAATACGCGGCCAAATTCTGCTTTTATTTATGCCTGTATTGATATCAAGAGAAATCAGCAAAGGGCCTAGATATTGAAAAGTTGCCATGTATCACCTGAGCCCCCGCAGCTTTCCTAAGTTGCTCTCTAGGTCTTTTCTAAGACTTTTCTAGATAGAAAAGGACAATGTTCAGAGTGTTTTCGCTGATTCGTATGGGACTACAGCCTTAGCCAAAGTAGAAAGTAGTTAAGTTAACCTCAATTGCCCCATGTACACCAAAGTCACTTAAACTGATCTGTTTCTTAGTTTTGACTACAAGAACCTGGTTGTTTATCTGAGCCCTTAGGTCTGTGGTGAGCTAAAGTGGAATAACAGAATAACTTGGCCTAGTGAGCGAGGCATCCTTTGCAGAGCTCTCATTTAATTTCGTCTTTCAGCCAAGGCTTTGCTTTATTATTTTTCAAATTTCCTTCTGCTAGGTAAACAACCTCAATCATTTTTTAGTTTGAGAAACATCTGATAATACATCCCATCTTTTGTAGGAATTTCAACCCATTAATAAACAGGAAAGTTAAGTACCTCTTTCTCTCCTGATGAAAGGATGCCTAAGGAAGCCGAGGCATAGTAAAATGACTTAATGTGGCCGAGTCAGTGGCAAAATAGGATACAAAACCCCAGGGATGTTTGTACTGTGTTATGACACTGTTTTTCTGGAGAAGACGTCTTGCAATGGATGAAGAAAAACACAAAGTGATACATGCTATTATGGTGAGGGAGGGAGGACACTTTAAGATGCTGGGACAGTAAGAATTAATCAGGAGAGTGGAATAGGGTTGAATTAAGGATGAGAAGTTTTTACTGGAGTTGTATTGGCTGCTTAGATTTTTATAAAGCTAGACTGTTGCTCAGAGGAGAAGTTCACAGAGGGATTAGGAAACTGGGTTTCTTTTCACAAATAATTCTGTGGAAACAGTTATCTCCTAAAGATGTAAAATTACAAGGAATAGAAGCTGCTAAAGCGTTGGGTACTCATTCATTACCTTTTCATTCACTGGACTGTGTCTGCTTGGTGTTTCATGCTGTAGGGAGAACTTGTGCCAGGTGAGAGTCAGCGTTCTTGAAAATCCATACGTCCATGTATAAAAAAGTGGTCATATTGTCGAGAAGAACTCAGTATCTGTCCTGTCTGCTGCTCACCTCCAAAGCCCCAGGCAGTAGACTGGACAGAAGAAATGGCTTCTGTAGAATCAGAAGGCAAACTGTTTTCTAAAACCACTGATTCTCCTTTGACTTCTGCTTCTGCTTGATTACTACTGAGCCGTGCTCATGCACGCCCTGTATTGGCTTTGGCAAGAGACGGAGTTAGAGAAGGGATAAGGTGCAGAGAAAATCTGGTGCTGTTTGTCAGCTTCAACCAGCTATCACAGGTATGGAGAGCAGGTGTCATTTCATTGTGAAGAACAGCCAGGTCTTTTTGCTTCGAGGTTTGACCAAAAAATTTTCTCATGCTCTTTTCTGCTAATCCGTATCATTGTCCTTCCTAAAGAGAAGCTGAAATGACAGGCATGCAGCTTGCTTAGGGAACAAATGGGTAGATTCTGGTTTTAGGGTTACTTGTCAGTATTGAAGTCCATAGGAAAAAAAAATATATTTGATTTTATTAGCAACCAAGGGACTTTTTTACCAGTTCATAATTGTGAAGGGTCAGTGTATGTGACTAACAAGAGAAAGAAGGGGCAGGTGCAAGCAAGTCTCCAGCGTTGACCAACTTTATTCTGACGTTCTCTGTGCAGTCCTGATGCCAGTGTTTGTTTCTATAGCAACAAACAGAGAAAGTGATGGTGGGGGACTAATTAAAGGGAACGCTGTTGAAATTGTCACTTAAAATTATTTGATTGTTTGGTAGCATGTACTGTCAGCGTAGGGCAATAATGTGGTTTTATTTGATATTGGTGTTCCTCAGTAAAGGGAGAAATGGCTGCACAAGCTGACATAAAATTGTCACACAGGTAACACAGGCTCCTAGAGCATCCTGCATCTCTGAATGAGCCACAGCTGCTGTGAAATTCACCCAGCATGTGGAGTTCAATATATTAACTTAGCCACAAGGTTCTTTTGTTTATTTATTTTGGTTCAGGATGCTGTTGATCCAGAATACAGGGCTGGTTTATTTATTATCTAGTTTGAATTAAAAGGCTTTTCAGACTAGTTGTTGATCATACTATGAAGATTGAGTTTGGAATCACCATTTTTCTCCTGACTTTTCCTGATAGGAGCAAAGCAGGGGAGACTTAGTCTTGTTCTGGTAGCTGTAATTCTTGCCATCTGTTTCACATTACCTGGAAGTTCACAACCTCATGGCTCTTATGTGGCACCAGTCCTCTGGGATGTAGACAGTCTTTTCATCGGCAGCCTTTGGAGAAACAATCCTTTTTCAGTCCCAAAGAGACATAGGAGTGTGTAAACAGAAGAACGTTGTGACCAATTTGCCTTTGCTCTTCGTTTATCAGGCTGCGCAGCGCTCCGGTTACGATTCGATTTGTGACGAACACAACGAAGGAGTGCAAGAGAGACCTGCTGGAGAGGCTAACGAAACTGGGATTTGACATTGCAGAGAATGAGATCTTCACGTCTCTGACAGCAGCCAGAAATCTTCTGGAGCAAAAGCAGGTGCGGCCTCTTCTCCTGGTGGATGATAAGGCCCTGCCTGATTTCACAGGTGAGGTGGTTGGAAAACAGCATGGAGGAAGTTACTGAATAACTAAGGAAACATAGTGCTCTCTGTTTTATAGAATGACAATCATATATGTACCAGTGGCCATGACGAAGCCTGAAATGTGGAACTCTCCAGAGTCATAAAGGTCCTTTCTTCTTTTTAAATTATCATTACACAGTCTGAAGTCATAGCTTCTTTAGGAGTAGTGGAAATGGCAGCCAAAGCCTTCAAATAGTCAAGAATTTGGGTAAAACTTGGTACTTTTGATTAATTTCCAGTGTTTAAAAAAAAAAAGGTAATACTTATCACTAGATCATTGGAGATTTATTGCACCTACCAGTGCTGATTTGTTTTATGGATGTGTCATTTTGTTGGAAATCAGGTTTCCCTCAGCTATTGCACAGAAGTTTTGCTCATAAAGAGCTGAAAAGCCAGTGTGTAGGCACATGCAGAAGGCTGTTTCTCTCTTAATAGATTATTATTGTGAGAAACATTCACCTATGTAGTTTTTAAGAGAGGACAAAGTCTGTGAAGCAAAGGTTTATTTCAGCACTGGGTGCACGGGAGATCACCCCCGTGATCCTCCTGCATGCACACTGGTTAGTCCAACTTCCACAAATTTATTTAGGACAGTCGTTCATATTCATGTCATTTCCCGGAAGTCTTATACATATTTAAATGATTTCCCCGAAGTTATTTACATCTATACCCTCCCACTTGCATCTGCGCACTGTTGTCCAGGGGTCGTCTTTGGGGGTCGTGGTGTGAAGTCTCAAAAGTCTTCCTCTCAATTGAACTTCTTATTCCGGTGCTTGTGCTCCGTTGTTTCAGCAGCATTGCAAACCCAAGTGGGCAGTTAATCCTCTCTTCCAGATAAGGACGGGAATGTGCCATCCAGGAAGAGGCTAATCATGGCTAAGATAAGGGCTGTCTCCGTCCCCATACTTATCTTAACCCTGTATCTGAATGTATAATGCCCTGTCTCCATCCCCATTCTTGGGTACCTGGAGACTTACATTCTTTCCAACTGCCTATGACTTAAGCAAAACTACAATATTATTTATCACAATTATTAAATGTAAAATGTCCAGGTAGTTAGTGTTACTTATCTTGTATTGAACATCTAGGTTTCATTTCATGTACTTTGATACCTTAACTGGTGACAGAGGGTTCATCGCCCTGGCTTCTATAGACTGCCATCTCTAAAGACCTGGTTAAAACTTGCTTTACTTTCAGATGTTCCCATTTCCCTCCCTCAACCCTAAGGGGAATAGAAGATGATTTATTCTAACTTGGACACGTCTGGCAGGTGCCTGAAGCTAGGACAGTTAGTTTGTGACTTAACCACATCCTTGTTTCAAGAGTAGTAAAGATACCCATGTTTTTAACATACTCAGAGTTGAAAACTGTATATTGTCTATTCAATCTTTCATTTAAAATCGAGGCAGCAAAAATGTGGATGGCTTGCCACTGCTCCCTGCCTCTTGCCTTAGGAACTGAAATCCTTATGGCTGCGTCATTTAAGTAGGTTCTAATCTTGCTAGGAGCTAGACATTTCATGGTAAGTTTTAGTGCCATAGTCTAGTCAGTAATCTTCAGAGAGATAAGTGTTCAGGAGAGAAGTCTCTGTGGGCTCTGAGAGCAATGAAACCTGATAATCTGTTCTACCTAACGTCGTAACCAGAGAAATACACCCCCGGCAATATTCTGTAGTTGTTTTCTCGGGAAGGCTTTCTTGGGTCAGAAACAGCAGAGACAGCAGCTATTTCACTGAAGGTGTTTAAATCAGTTTAATCTCCATGTATTTGGTGTCTTTCTGTCAGCTTTACAGTAGCTGATGCTGATTTTGTAAAAGATGGCAAAGACGGAGATATCAGCAGAGTACATTGGTGGCGTTATCTGCATTGCTTGGGTCTGGAATGGATTGTTTGGTTTCTTTTTGCGGCCTGCAGTTTGGCTCACATTCTCTCAGTGCTGCTCTTGAAACATTTAAGTACAATGGAGAACGCTTTAAATTCCCGTTAATCGCTGCTATTGAACTATTCTTTGCTAATCTGTCTATAAAGTTGGGCACAGATGGATGAACGTAATCCGTTCTTGGTGAAAGGACCCAGATGCTTTTGGGTAGCGTCACAAATCCATATGGCGCCTCTGAGCGTACATTTTGCTGTTTGAGCTAGCTGAAGGACATGTAGCAGGAGACATCAGCCAGCAGGCTGTGATGACACTGAAGACCCAGGAGCTCTAGTTGTCCCAGTAAAGGTGTAGAGGATGTGCTGTGTGAAGGCGGAACAAAAACCCCAGCAAGTGTAGGATGCAGCTGATAACTTAACCTCTCATAAATAAAACTCTCTGGTACTCCTCTTTCTCCTGTAGATGCTACTCTGCTTCCATTGCTGGTTCTGTTCAGAACTGTTCAGAACCAGCATTGCCACGTAAAAACAATCATACTCTCTGGAGCAGTGCAGGACAAAGGAGGTGCAAGCTGTTCTTGAGGGGATTAATCTACATTTAAAAAAAAAAAATCTTCCAGAAGAGCCAAAACTAATCTAGTGTAACAACTTCTAGGTCACCATCTTTGCTGTCATAACCAGACTGATATATAGAACAACAATCAGAGTTTATACCCTAAGTGGAGTTTTCTGTGACTAGAGGGAATGGAAAGACTGGATGGAATTCACTAGTCTTCCTGCCTTGCTGTCTTACAAAGCAGATAAATACAGGTGGAAAGAGATTCTCAGATAATAAGAAGTCATTCCGTTAAAAAAGTGATTTGTGCAGTCTGCTGGATTTCAGTAGAGGCAGTGAGACAATCACTGCTGAACAGTGGCTGTTAAGACTATCCAGCTGCAGAGTTGTGTTTATCATGAAGGATGGCAGAGTCTGGATAGATCAGCACCTTTTCCGCAGATGTTTTCTTCATTTCTGAAAGACATAAAACTAATCTATGTGATGTGTCTGTGTCAGAAAATGCTCATTTTTGCTATAAAGTGATTAATTGCACTTGTTGACTGTGTACTGCTAAGTATGAATAAAACTGTATTCGCTCAGAGTCATGTTTTGGTTTTCCAGGGATAGCCACTGATGACCCCAATGCAGTGGTGGTAGGACTGGCTCCTGAACATTTTCACTATGAGATGATGACCAGAGCGTTTCGGTAAGTCAGCCCCTTCTCGAGGGTTTTTGAATGGTGGCTGTCATCTGCTGGGCTCTGTACCTCTAGATGTGTGAGGAAATCCTTCTTGTATGGGAAGAAGAGGGTGGTAGCAATAGCACCGTTATGTGGCGTGATTATGGTGTCTTCCTCTGTGTTTGAGAGAGCACCACTAACCTTGGTGGATTTGGGGCCTTAATTATGAATTTCAGGCAGTCCGGCCCTGGTTTTCGTAGCTTTCAGAATTACAGACTGGTTGGGGCTGGAAGGGACCTCTGGAGATCACCCAGTCCAACCCCCCTGCCAAAGCAGGGTCACCTACAGCAGTTGCACAGGATCGCGTCCAGGTGGGTTTTGAATATCTCCAGAGAAGGAGACTCCACAACCTCTCTGGGCAGCCTGTGCCAGTGCTCGGCCACCCTCAAGGTACAGAAGTTCTTCCTCATCTTCAGATGGAACTGCCTGAGTTTCAGTTTGTGCCCGTTGCCCCTTAACCTGTCGCTGGGCACCACTGAAAAGTCTGGCCCCATCCTCTTGACACCCACCCTTAAGGTATTGATAAGCATTGATGAGATCCCCTCTCAGTCTTCTCTTCCCCAGGCTGAACAGACCCCGTTCCCTCAGCCTGTCCTCATCAGGGAGATGCTCCAGTCCCCTCATCACCTTCGTTGCCCTCCACTGGACTCTCTCCAGTAGTTCCTTGTCTGTTTTGAACTGGGGAGCCCAGAACTGGACCCAGCACTCCAGATGTGGCCTCACCAGGGCAGAGTAGAGGGGGAGGAGAACCTCCCTTGACCTGCTGGCCACACTCGTCCTCATGCACCCCAAAATAAACTGTCTGTAAATAAACTATAGAAGTACAGTCACAGTTGTCATTGAGGTGAAAAAGTTAGGAATGCTTCAAGAGGAAATACACAAAACCAAGGATCTTGGGAAGTATTTGGGAGATGACTTCTTTGTTCAAACCCCAGCCTTTGGAGCCCAAATATTACAGGGAAGGAAATCCAGTATTTAGGGCAGATTATTCCTTCTCTACCTAATACAGGATATCTAGCAGTATCTTCTGAAGCATCTTGCGTTCAGGAGTGGCCAGAACAATATGCTGGGCTAGATGATCTACGGATCAGATCTGCTCGGTCTTATTTCTAAAGCTCTTTGTTTTGTCTGTAGATTAAGGGGTGAATCAGATAAAATTTATCTGTGACCGTCCATGAGCCAGGCTGCAATAGTATGTGCAGAGGTCCATAGCCATACATCCTCTCTAATTCTAGCTCAGCACAGCACTCATGATTTTAATTTGAAAAAAACAAGACTTGAACATGAACCTGTTGCTGAGTTTAGCCCCGGTGCTGTGCTTTTTGTCTGTTGTGAAACGCACCAAGAAGGGTCATCTGAACATTCCCCTTACCCTGCACCTGTTAAAGAAATCTCTTTGCCCTAGGTTTCCCGCAGCAGAGTCTCAGACATCCGATCTTAGAAGAATAATTAATTAATTTGGATGGTACAGCAGAATGACAGCTCGAGCTGGGTGCCTCCGGAGAGGGACCCCGAAACAAAGAAAACCTGGGTTTTTAAACCCTTACAATCTATGCAGCCCCTCTCCATGTGCCCTTCACGCGCCTTTTGGTCAGTCTCTTCACGCACTCTCCACGTGCCTCTTGGTCTAACGGTAATTCGTGGTCTGGGGGCTCAGCTGTTTCTCTTTGGTTCTCCACCTCTGAACTCCTGATGGGCCGTTTGTTGTCCTTATCTTGATGGTTTGCAGCTTTGGCTGACAGAGCTTCCTCCTTACCTTCTTCCAGTCCCCCCTATAGCCAAGCAACCAGGTCAGGATGAGTTTATGATATGTGACCTTGAATTCCTTCTCCTGCTGACTAATGCTAAGTGAAATTATTCAGACAAAAGAATACATTTAAAAGAATAGAGTAGAATTAAAAAGTTAGGTTGATGAAACTTACTCTGTAACACACCCCAACAGAGCCTGCTGTGCCCCCATTTTATTTTACTAGGAGCTCTCTGAACCCGCTGTCCTTCAGCAGCAGTTTAGGCCGAGCTGATCAGCCTGGCTTTGTAAGGAAGGAGGAGCACCCACCTGCACAGCCAACCCCAGCTGCGGGAGTGCTAACCCCTGCTAGCAGCTGGTAACCAACTTTAGTGCTATCTCAGTGCTAAAGAAGACATCTTGTAGCAACCTGGATAACTCCCTGCTGTGCTACAATACATGCAATGGGTCTTTTCCACTCTTTGCTTGCGGGATGATGGCTACCACACGATTTTTACACCTTGAAATTTGAAAGAAACCTGATCTCAAGCACCTAAATCTGTCTTTATAACCACGACATCCGAAGAGGGAGCATCAGTTACTGCTCACCGGTATCCTGTGGAGGCTCTCTGGAGTAGGAAGCCAATGCTGTCCTTATCTGCATGCCAGTTCTATGTCATAAGAACATATATTGACCCAAACTGACTCTCTGTTTGCCTCATTAGCGCATTTTGCCAATGGCATTGATTTTAGAGTTTTACAGTGCAGTCGTGAGCGGACTCTAATTTCACAACTGCAGGAACTTAACCCATCGTGTATTCCAGTGCTTACATCATTTTATTTATTGATATTTCTGTCATGAATATATTAGCTGTTGAATAATAGTCATTAGCTGCCTCGAGCTACACACCAGGATGCTTAAAACAAGAAACCAGTCATCCCGTTCAGAGTCCCTGAGGGCCCCAGGCTTTCCCAGGCCAGCGTACGCAGGAAAACCTGCAGAGCTGGCCCTGTGGAGGTGAGTGAGGTTGTCCCAGGCTGGATTTGGGCTTTTTGCGTTAAACACAGTATCGAACGCTAGCTCTGGTGATGGATGGAAGGTGCTGAAGGCCAAACTGAGTCCCCTGCAACAGGCGCAGCATGGCCTTGCTGCCCAAGAGAGACGTATTCAGGGGGTAGCGTGGAATGCGTGCTGCCTGAGCATCCTATATCCAGAGCTGTCTGCGTGGTGCGGCTCAGTATTGAGCAAGGTTGAGTCCTTCAGCTCACCTTGCCTTATGCAGATGCGTTCCCAGCCACTCGGATGACTTGTCTGCCTGGAGGAAGATTTCATCCTCTGTTGTTCTGTCCTGCGTTTGCTAGGTGTTTTCCTGGTCCTGTGTTTCAGCTGGGCAGAGGCCCTAGGATGGGCTCTGTCTGATCTATAACATCTCCCTGACTTGCTTTTTTCTGCCCCCAGTCCTCTGTTGAGGATGAACTGTTCTGCTCGTGTCAGTTTTGTTTGGTCTAATTGAAATACCGACTACTGGCCACGTTCTCTTCTTCTCAAGCCTTATGCTGTGTCCGTAGTCCTTGTCCTTTACTGCTTGGATAATTAAGTCACTTGGGCGATTTGCATTGCTCATAGCAAAACTTTAAGGAGAATCTGATTAGATGCAGATATCTACAGTGCCGATGCCTGTATCTGAGCTGGTGACTTGGGCTCCTGAGGGAGAGAGGAGGTACTTGTAAGGCATCATTCATTTTTCCCCTTAGTAATGCTTAAAATAGGACAGTTGAACTGTGCCCTAGAAGTGCTTTTTCATCTCCACTGACTGTGAAGAGCCCAGACTGACTAATTACCTGGTAGGCAACTACTCGGTTGATAGCCAACATAAGGGTAGGTAAATCAAACCCAATATGAGTCCCAAAACGAGATGCACAGAGTAAGGCCATTCTCTAGGCACCGTTTGAAATGACTGAGACTAAATTTCTCTTTTTGTATGTGTGGGATTTTGATGCCACGTTTAAAAGAATTCTCTCAGGTGAGATCTTTCCTGCAAACTGCTGAATGTAAGCGGTTGTGGTGCTGCTGTCAAATTAAATTTTTCTGTATCCTAGAGGCATCCTCTCATCGTGAACAACGTATCTGGCTGCTTGCAGATTACACATGCTAGCTCTCTTCTTGAGGTTGCTTTGGAATGCATTGATTCAATAGAATTGTTTTGTGATAATTAAGTGAAATGAAATATTATCATTTACATACTGCTCAAGGTACCCGGGCTGCCCGGCAAGCATGAGGGAAGGAGCCGACGTTCTCCAAGGAGCCGACGTTCTCCAAGGAGCATACAAGTCACCTAAGCCAGCCTCTTTGAGCAGAGCCACAGCAGAGCTCCAGAAAGGCAGTGAAGGGACAAAGCAAGATTTTGTTTGTTTTCTTAAAGTTTTTTTCTGTTTTTTTCCTAAATCAGGCAGGGTTAGGGGGAAAATAAATCCTCCTTTCTGCCCTGAAGGTAACGGCCAACGTTTCTCCTCTATTCCTCAGCTTTGCTAGTTGCATTCCTACCTGTTGTGGTAAAGACTGGAGTTGCCTGCAGTATCTGAAGAAGGTACTGTAAAATCAACCGGGAAGTGTTTGGCAGTCATCACCTCGATTTCTATAGACACTGTCTGGAGGGCTTTTGTTGCACTGAGGCTGGGAAGGGAGAGAACCGCAATAACGTTGCCATGCTTAGTAGTACCGGGAGGATTCCTCAAGCATGGCAGCTACGCAGGCTTCCCTTTGCAGCAGGACAGGTAGCTGCTGTGTCTGCTGTAAGGAAATACTACTGGGCAGGTAACAGAAATGGAAGAATCAAAGAATAGGTCCAGATTCTGTGAAAGCGAGCCTTCTTAAACTCCCGTTGATTCCTTTGCTGTCATGGGTCCGCTGTTCAGGCATTGTGTACTCTAATGAGATGCGCTTCCTGCCACAAGGATTTACAAGGCAAGCGTTAGACAAGAGCCCTCAAGCAGACATGAAGTGAACTGACAGGGGTGACAGGGTAGGGAGGCTAAGGAGGCACTGATGGAGATCGGTGGAGTAACAGCAGTTTCTTAATTACTTCCTCCCTTACATTTTTCCACCCCCCCTCCAGACAATCCTGTATTCTGTGCAGGTTTTTAACGGGTAGGTCAGCTGGCAGGCAGAGGTGCTGTCTGTGGAACCCCAAGGAGGGCACACGCTGGGGTGTCGGGGGAGAAATGGGCTTGTGGAAGGTGAGAGGATCTCAGCTGTTGGCAGGGAGCAGTTCCCGCTCTGTCAGACCACTGCTGCACTCGCTTCCCGATGGCTCCCAGGTGCTGTGCCCAGCCAAGAGCCTCCTGTAATGATGCCGTACTGTACATGCCACACTGTTATGACTCTTATTCTGTGACCTTGTTATCGTACTCGGAAGCGTTAGGAATCTGGTGACTTGTTGCTTTGAATTACCATCCGCTTGGAATTTTTGGTTTCCAATAGCAAGGAGCTTAAATCCAGCATTGTTAACTGTGGAATTTGATGGGACATGAATGCACCTAATATCTTTGTGCTTTTTTTTAAATGCAACTCCTTATTGTAATTCCTCCAACTTTAAAATACAGAGTTAAGGTAAAATGATTTATCCTGTACCTGGGAATCACCTAAACACCCATCTCTGCTGGAAACATGGAGCTGTTTGGTTGTTACAGGTCACACCAACAGCCCCAAGAGCTGCTGGGCTGCAGTTTTCCCGGCAGCAGCAGCCTGAAAGTACTGCTGTCGTCTCAGTCTAGGCAAGGAGATGAAGGCCGTGGCCATCAAACTGCTGCCTCCAGCCCACTACCTGTGGTTAATATATTTTAAAATATTTGCCTGGGGAAATCAGATGGGTTCTAATGTTAGGACGTTTGCCTTAGTGAAAAGTGAGGCTGCTTAGAGTAATGGACCTAATTGCATGAGAGTTATAGACAGGATTTAAAAATAGTCACCTGTTAAAATCCTCAAGATAATAAATTCTTTATTTGGGGGGTTTATTAGCTGTTTCTGGGGAAAAGAAAGGAAGGATCTTAATTTAACTCTCCAAATGAATGCTAGCTTGCATTATAATTTGGGGCTTCATGAAAGTCAGTGGGAGTTTTGTCATCAACTTAAGCGAAAGCCAGTCGAGGCCTTTAGCGTTTCTTTTAATATAATTTTTGTACCTTCTTCTTCATTCATTCTCTAGGTTGATTTTGGATGGGGCTCCTCTTATAGCTATACATAAAGCCAGATATTTCAAGAAAAAAGATGGCTTGGCTCTGGGACCTGGACCTTTCGTAGCTGGGCTGGAATATGCGACGGACACCAAAGCGACAGTGGTGGGGAAACCAGAGAAAACCTTCTTCCTAGAAGCTTTGCGAGGGACTGACTGTGCCCCAGAGGAGGCCGTCATGATTGGTGATGTACGTGGAGACCAAATACCTTATCACCTGCCTGTTAACGTCGTGCTCCTATCTGCTGCGTGTAGTGCCTCCCAAATGCCATGAACTGATCTTTCTAAAAGCACTGGGATTAAACAAGGGGTGAAAACTGAACCATCAAAACTTGCAGGATTTAAAGTGTAGTCCACAGGGGTAGTTCTCTTACTTCAGTCGCTATTTGATCAGGCAAAAAGCACGTAGTAAATCATTCCTATGACGGTTTGTCTAATAGGTAGCTAAGATTTGACTCTGTGTAGCTGCTTTTAAGTGGCTCGTTAGTGATGTGCAAAGCAGACAATGTGATGAAAAACTTGTTAACAAATAATGTCTGTGACTGCTAACCGGCTGATCTCCTATTCTGTCCCAGGACTGCAGAGATGATGTCGGCGGTGCCCAGAACGCGGGCATGCGTGGGATTTTGGTAAGGACTGGTAAGTACTCGATGGATCGGTCATTTCAGGAGACAGCGTAAGGATGCTCTGAGCCCTGGTGCTTTGTAGATGCCCACCATTCCTGTGTTTTTTTCCACCGAGGGGCTGCTAGGAGACTCCCAGTCCATCACTCTCTTCATTTTGGGGTGAATGCAGCAGATACATTTCCTCAGCTGCAGTGTGGCAGCCTGTTAAGCAGTAGATTGTGATTAAGTCAGGAGAGGCCATTATATTTAATCTTTCAACAACAGGGCTAGAGCACAGACCCCAAACTGATAGCAAGATGATGTAAAGTAATAGATGGGG